AGTCTGGTGCTGTCTATTTCCTGTATGGTCAGCGGTGGTGTCCGTGGACGGTGTTCGGACAAGGAAGCGTGAGCCTAACAGAAATACCCTAGTGCAGTCGGGGTCCGGTTCCGTTACAATATGTACCCGGGATATTGGAGCTTGACCTGACACAAGGGGGCAACATGGCAGCCGACCGTAAATGACAAGCGCCTACCTCAGATAACCATTTAACAGCTGTAATCAGGACATACAAATGAATGAGAGGTAATAGACAATTGCTAAGGCACACATGGGTGCATAAGAGCTCATTGAGCAAGGTGGGAAACTTGGTAACTAGAAGAGTCAGGTGGTGAGGCCCTCTGAGCCAGGAAGGTGAGGCCGGTGGGGGGCTTGGAAACCTCTTCCTCCCAGGTTTAGCGGGCAGAAGGCAGGGATGATGTAGGAGGTTGCATTAAAGCCTCTTCCGGCAGGGAAGGAAGTCCCAACTGTTTAAAGAAGGAGCCCACTTCATGGAGATCACGGAGGAAGACTTGGGAATCATCCTTGGAGACAACAAGCTTAAAAGGAAATCCCCACCGGCAAGCGATCTGGTGTTGCTGGAGATGAGTGGTAACCGGCTTTAAGACACCTCGCTTTGCCAAAGTAATGGGGGATAGATCACTGAAAATCTGGAGCTTGTCTCCCTTAAATTCCAGGGAGGATTTGTTGCGAGTAGAGGCGATCAAAGCTTCTTTGCTGTCGAAGTAATGGAAACGAATAATAACGTCTCTGGGCCTAGTTCCCTCAGGAGGCCTCGGGCCTAACGATCTATGGACCCGATCCATACGCCAATCAACATCTGGGATTTTGGGGGCCAGAGTGATAAACAGGGACAGCAGCTGGCGTTTAAGTTGGGAGTCAGGGACCGTTTCAAAAATGCCGCGAAACACGAATATTCTGACGGAGCTCCCTGATTTCCAGGTCCTCCTGCTGGAGATGTAACTGGGACACGGAATGTTTTAAATTTGCGTTATCCTCTTCCAGGACATGCACATATTGCACCAATTCGTCAAATTTTGATTCAAGGTGGTCTGTGCGTTCTCCCAATTGTGTAATCTCCCCCCTGAGCTACTGGGCCAATTTCCCAATTTCAGTAGAGATTGTGCGGGAGATATTATGTAAAAATACTTGCAATTTGTCCTCCAGGATATCCACCGTTAGAGAGGGGAGCACCGGCGTAGGAAGCAAGGCAGCATGGGCGTATGTGTCTGTCCCCGCCATGTCCATGGACTCTATGGAGCACTCACCGCCGCAACTACTCGAGGCTGGGGATGCAGGTCTAGTGAAGAAGCGATCCAGCATGGAAGGCCTCGAGTCCAGATGACCTGGCGTGGGTGGCTTCCAGTGCCCAGTTTTGCCCATGGGTGTGCCTGACAACTCATGGGGCCCCCGGGCAATAGGAAATCATAGGGCCCCTGTGCCCTCGCCCACACTCAAACCACACCCAAAAATGCCTTTCAAAGTTATTAGGGGTATCTCATGGGGCCCCCTACTGACCCAGAGCCCTCGGGCAGTGCTCGAATGCCTAAATGGTCAGTTCGCCCCTGGGTGTGCCTGAGTACATCCTGACATGGGTGAGAGCGCTCCCGGATCTATGGCTGCTGTGGAAGAGTGTAGGGAGGCCAATGCAGTCCAAGGATCGGCGGAACTCACCCTTCACACGTACGCCATCTTGGGATGCCACGCATGCGCCCATTTCTCCATTTTTTTTTTTTTTGTGTCATATCAATACAAACAAAAATAATAAACATGAGAAATCCGAAACATTTGGAATTGCAACAATTTTCTGGGTCAAGTGGTGCGTTATCTACCAGAAATGCGGGGGGGGGGGACAGTATTTTTCATATTTCATCCGATCATGTGATCACTGATTGGCCAATCAGTGATCACATGAATAGTAGTAAGCAAGATGTCACTCCCCCTGACATCACTGCTTACTACATGTGAAATATGTGAATGATCACAGAGATCACATGGTACAGGGCCATTCACAACAGCCTTGTACCATGTGACAAGCTGTGACCAATCACAGCTCACACAGTATTTCTGAATGGTTGCAAAAATGCAGCCAGAGAGAAAGAGAAATGATTGCTTTTACATCCTATATGGGTGTAAAAGCAATCAGTGTAAAAAAAAAAAAAAAAAAAAAAAAAAATCTTCACCCCCCCACAAGTAGTACAGTGTCACCATGGTGATTGTACTGCTAGGGTGACAGTATGTAAAATAAAAAAACATAAATAATAATCTAAAAAAATAAAATAAAAATGTAACTTTTTTTTTTTTAAATTATAATTTTTGGTTATAAACTAATTTGGGTTATTATTTTTTTTACTAAATAGATAACTGAATAAATTTTGGCCAAGATTTATGAAGAAATGTTATTTATTTGCAAAATTTTATAAGAAAAACTTTTTTTTTTTTTTCAAATTTTTTGGACTTTTTCGTTTATATAGCAAAAATAAATAAAAATCCCAGCGGTGAATAAATACCACCAAAATAAAGTTTTATCTGTCTAATAAAAATGCTAAAAAATTCATATGGGTACAGTATTGCATGACCGCGCAATTGTCATTCGAAGTGCAACAGCGCTGAAAGCTGAAAATTGGCCTGGACAGGAAGGGGGGGAAAGTGTCCGGACTGGAAGGGGGGGGGGGAAGTGTCCGGGACTGGAAGGGGGGGAAAGCGTCCGGACTGGAAGGGGGGGAAAGCGTCCGGACTGGAAGGGGGGGAAAGCGTCCGGACTGGAAGGGGGGGGAAAGCGTCCGGACTGGAAGGGGGGGGGGGGGAAAGCGTCCGGACTTCAAGGGGGGGGAAAGCATCCGGACTTCAAGGGGGGGAAAGCGTCCGGACTGGAAGGGGGGGGGAAGCGTCCGGACTGGAAGGGGGGGAAAGCGTCCGGACTGGAAGGGGGGGATAGCGTCCGGACTGCAAGGGGGGGAAAGCATCCGGGACTTCAAGGGGGGGAAAGTGTCCGGACTGGAAGGGGGGGGGAAAGCATCCGGACTTCAAGGGGGGGAAAGCGTCCGGACTGGAAGGGGGGGGGGGGGAAAGCGTCCGGACTGGAAGGGGGGGAAGCGTCCGGACTGGAAGGGGGGGGAAAGCGTCCGGACTGGATGGGGGGGGAAAGCGTCCGGACTGGAAGGGGGGAGAAAGCGTCCGGACTGGAAGGGGGGGGATGAAAGTGTCCGGACTGGAAGGGGGTGAAAGCGTCTGGACTGGAAGGGGGGGAAAGTGTCTGGACTTCAAGGGGGGGAAGCGTCCGGACTTCAAGGGGGGGAAAGCGTCCGGACTTCAAGGGGGGAAAGCGTCTGGACTTCAAGGGGGGGAAAGCGTACGGACTGGAAGGGGGGTGAAAGCGTCCTGACTGGAAGGGGGGGGGGGGGGGGAAAGCGTCCTGACTGGAAGGGGGGGGGAAAGCGTCCGGACTGGAAGAGGGTGAAAACGTCCGGACTGGAAGGGGGTGAGAGTGTCCGGACTGGAAGGGGGGAAAGTGTCCGGACTGGAAGGGGGTGAGAGTGTCTGGACTGGAAGGGGTGGAAAGTGTCCGGACTGGAAGGGGGGGAAAGCGTCCTGACTGGAAGGGGGGGAAAGCGTCCTGACTGGAAGGGGGGGAAAGCGTCCAGACTGGAAGGGGGTGAAAACGTACGGACTGGAAGAGGGTGAAAACGTACGGACTGGAAGAGGGTGAAAGCATCCTGACTGGAAGGGGGGGAAAGCGTCTGGACTTCAAGGGGTGGAAAGCGTCCGGACTGGAAGGGGGGTGAAAGCGTCCTGACTGGAAGGGGGGGAAAGCGTCCGGACTGGAAGAGGGTGAAAACGTCCGGACTGGAAGGGGGGTGAGAGTGTCCGGACTGGAAGGGGGGGAAAGCGTCCGGACTGGAAGGGGGGAAAAGCGTCCGGACTTCAAGGGGGGGAAAGTGTCCGGACTTCAAGGGGGGGAAAGCGTCCGGACTTCAAGGGGGGGAAAGCGTCCGGACTTCAAGGGGGGGAAAGCGTCCGGACTTCAAGGGGGGGGAAAGCGTCCGGACTTCAAGGGGGGGGGAAGCGTCCGGACTTCAAAGGGGGGAAAGCGTCCGGACTTCAAGGGGGGGAAAGCGTCCGGACTTCAAGGGGGGGAAAGCGTCCGGACTGGAAGGGGGGGAAAGTGTCCGGACTGGAAGGGGGGGAAAGTGTCCGGACTGGAAGGGGGGGAAAGTGTCCGGACTGGAAGGGGGGGGGAAAGTGTCCGGACTGGAAGGGGGGGAAAGTGTCCGGACTTGAAGTGGTTTAAACACGCACAGATATTGGAGCCAGCTGTATATGACTCAGAAGCCATCACTAAATATGAAGCTTTACAATATCTCTCAGTTGAGTTCCCCAAGTTAATGTACATTAATACACTGGAAGCACTGATGGCGGCTTGCTGCGCTCCTATAATTGGAGCTTTTGGCTTTATTATTTCTAAATCAGTTCCAACTTAAGAAAAGAAATTACCATCTGGTAAAATACACCCATTCATAACTTGTCAGAGTCAGCAAATGTTTAAAAATGTTAATATCGGCATAATTATATATTTTCAGGCTTTTCTTCACACGTCTGAGAGTCATTATCTTCGGAACAATATAATTAATTACAATTTCACTTCTTAGTTATTAATGGAGATTTGGCCGCTGTTGCTACATTCTGGTTAAACAGAATTTTCATATCTCCGCAAACCTTAGAAATTTGATTCAAGATTGTTGCTGCTCTTGAAATTTGCCTTTTCAATGTACATCAAACAAAAACAGAACGTGATCAGCAAACGGCGAGTTACAGAATACTAGACTACGATGAAAACAAATGACGTCTCATGTGCCTGAAAAATGTAGCTACACATTACCATACGACTTAACCACTTGATGTCCGGACACTTTCCCCCCCTTCCAGTCCGGACGCTTTTCCCCCCTTCCAGTCCGGACACTTTCCCCCCCCCTTCCAGTCCGGACACTTCCCCCCCTTCCAGTCCGGACACTTTCACCCCCTTCCAGTCCAGACACTTTCACCCCCTTCCAGTCCGGACACTTTCCCCCCTTCCAGTCCGGACACTTTCCCCCCGCCCCCTTCCAGTCCGGACGCTTTCCCCCCCCTTCCAGTCCGGACGCTTTTCCCCCCTTCCAGTCCGGACACTTTCACCCCCTTCCAGTCCGGACACTTTCCCCCCCTTCCAGTCCGGACACTTTCCCCCCTTCCAGTCCGGACACTTTCCCCCCCTTCCAGTCCGGACACTTCCCCCCCTTCCAGTCCGGACGCTTTTCCCCCCTTTCCAGTCCGGACGCTTTTCCCCCCCTTCCAGTCCCAGACACTTTCACCCCCTTCCAGTCCGGACACTTTCCCCCCCTTCCAGTCCGGACACTTTCCCCCCCTTCCAGTCCGGACACTTTCACCCCCTTCCGGTCCGGACGCTTCCCCCCCTCCCCCCCTTCCAGTCCGGACGCTTTCCCCCCGTTCCAGGTCCGGACGCTTTCCCCCCCTTCCGGTCTGGACGCTTTCCCCCCCTTCCGGTCCGGACGCTTTCCCCCCCTTCCGGTCCGGACGCTTTCACCCCCTTCAGTCCGGACCCTTTCCCCCCCTTCCGGTCCGGACGCTTCCCCCCCTTCCAGTCCGGACGCTTTCCCCCCCCTTCCGGTCCGGACGCTTTCCCCCCCCTTCCGGTTCAGACGCTTTCCCCCCCTTCCGGTCCGGACACTTTCCCCCCTTCCAGTCCGGACACTTTCCCCCCCTTCCAGTCCGGACACTTTCCCCCCCTTCCTGTCCAGGCCAATTTTCAGCTTTCAGCGCTATCACACTTTGAATGACAATTGCGCGGTCATGCAACACTGTACCCATATGAATTTTTTAGCATTTTTTTATAGACATTTAAAGCTTTACTTTGGTGGTATTTATTCACCGCTGGGATTTGCATTTTTTTTGCTATATAAATGAAAATGTCCAAAGATTTAGAAAAAAGTGTTTTTCTTATAAAATTTAGCAAATAAATAATCTTTCTTCATAAATCTTGGCCAAAATGTATTCCGTTATTTTTTTAGAAAAAAAAAAAAAATAACCCAAATTAGTTTATAAACCAAATATTATTATTAATAAAAAAAAAATTTTTTTTTACATTTTTATTTTTATTTTTTTTTTAATATTTATGGGTTTTTTTTTTTTTTTTACTGTCACCCTAGCAGTACAGTGTCACCATGGTGACACTGTACTACTTGTGGGGGGTGATGAAGATTTCTTTTTTTTTTTTTTACACTGATTGCTTTTACACCCATAAAGGATGTAAAAGCAATCATTTTTCCTTCTCTCTGTCTGCATTCTTGCAGCCATTGAGAAATACTGTGTGAGCTGTGATTGGTCACAGCTTGTCACATGGTACAGGGCTATTGTGAATAGCCCTGTACCATGTGACCTCTGTGATCATTCACAGATTTCACACGTAGTAAGCAATGATGTCAGAAGTGACATCTTGCTTACTACTCTTCATGTGATCACCGATTGGCCAATCAGTGATCACATGATCGGAACCTCACACAGAGATCCCGTACGACGATCGGTGTTCCACTGTGTCCTCCTGTGTTTTTCTTGAGGATAGGATCCTTCAGAATGGAGAGTAGGAAAGGGTCCGGTAAATATGTCGCATTTACCACCCCCATCCTTTCCTGAATGAACACAATGAGTGATTGGTACCGATCACTCACCGTGTTCATTCATAACTGAAGCATAGTAAACTGTGTTTTTCTTGAGGATATGATCCTTCAGAATGGAGAGTAGGAAAGGATCGGGTAAATATGTCGCATTTTCCAACCCCTTCCTTTCCTGAATGAACACAATGAGTGATTGGTATTGATCGCTCGCCGTGTTCATTCATAACTGAAGCCTAGTAAACTGTGTTTTTCTTGAGGGGGGGCCCTGTCAGGTTGGCTTTATGGGGCCCCGTGGTTTCTAACAGCAGCCCTGCTCCTGTACATAAATTAATCTATGAATAGGCTTTTTAATGTGGTTCTACATCCCAAACATGGCACCACCTGCCTGGAGTTTGCATGTTCTCCCTTTGCCTGCGTGGGTTTCCTCCCGGTACTCCGATTTCCTCCCACCTCCAAAGACATGCTGGTAGGTGAATTAAATCCTAGTCTAAATTGGCCCCTAGTATGTGTACTATATGTATGAATGTGAGTAAGGGACCTTAGATTGTACGCTCCTCGGGGGCGGGGACTGATGTGAATGTACAATAAATATATATATATCTATAGACCTTAGACTGTGCGCCCCATGAGGGCCAGGGGCTGATGTGAATGTGTATATGGAGACCTTAGATTGTACGCCCATGAGGGTCAGGAACTGATGTGAATGTGTATATGGAGACCTTAGATTGTACGCCCCATGAGGGTCCAGGGACTGATGTGAATGTGTATATGGAGACCTTAGACTGTACGCCCCATGAGGGTCAGGGGCTGATGTGAATGTGTATATGGAGACCTTAGACTGTACGCCCCATGAGGGTCAGGGGCTGATGTGAATGTGTATATGGAGACCTTAGACTGTACGCCCCATGAGGGTCAGGGACTGATGTGAATGTGTATATGGAGACCTTAGACTGTACGCCCCATGAGGGTCAGGAACTGATGTGAATGTGTATATGGAGACCTTAGATTGTACGCCCCATGAGGGTCAGGAACTGATGTGAATGTGTATATGGAGACCTTAGATTGTACGCCCCATGAGGGTCAGGGACTGATGTGAATGTGTATATGGAGACCTTAGACTGTACGCCCCATGAGGGTCAGGGACTGATGTGAATGTGTATATGGAGACCTTAGACTGTACGTCCCATGAGGGTCAGGGGCTGATGTGAATGTGTATATGGAGACCTTAGATTGTACGCCCCATGAGGGTCAGGGGCTGATGTGAATGTGTATATGGAGACCTTAGATTGTACGCCCCATGAGGGTCAGGGACTGATGTGAATGTATATATGGAGACCTTAGATTGTACGCCCCACGAGGGTCAGGGACTGATGTGAATGTATATATGGAGACCTTAGATTGTACGCCCCACGAGGGTCAGGGACTGATGTGAATGTGTATATGGAGACCTTAGATTGTACGCCCCATGAGGGTCAGGGACTGATGTGAATGTACTATATATATATATATATATATATATATATATATATATACAGTTGCAAGAAAAAGTATGTGAACCCCTTGGGATTACGTGGAGTTTTGCATGAATGGGGCATAAAATGTGCTCTGAACGTCATCTAAGTCACAACAATAGAAGAACACAGTCTGCTGAACATAATACTACACAAACATTAGATGTTGCCATGGTTTAATTGCAAATAACATGTAAACATTCACAGTGCAGGGAGGAAAAAGTATGTGAACCTTTGGATTTAATAACTGGTTGACCCTCCTTTGGCAGCAATAACCTCAACCATATGTTTCCTGTAGTTGCAGATCAGACCTGCACAACGATCTGGAGTAATTTTGGACCACTCCTCTTCACAAAACTGTTTCAGTGTAGCAATATTCTTGGGATGTCTGGTGTGAATCGCTCTCTTAAGGTCATGCCACAGCATTTCAATCGGGTTGAGGTCAGGACTCTGACTGGGCCACTCCAGAAGGCGTATTCTGTGCTGTTGCAGCCATTGTTTTGTTGAATTACTTGTATGCTTTGGGTCATTGTCCTGTTGCATCACCCATCCTCTGCAGAGCTTCAGTTGGCGGACAGATGGTCGTACATTTTCCTGCAAAATGTCTTGATAACCTCTGGAATTCATTTTCCCATCAATGACAACAATCCGTCCAGGCCCTGAGGCAGCAAAGCAGCCCCAAAGCATGATGCTCCCTCCGCCATGTTTCACAGTGGGGATGAGGTTTTGATGTTGGTGTGCTGTGCCTTTTTTTTTTCTCCACACATAGTGTTGAGTGTTCTTCCCAAACAACTCAATCTTGGTTTCATCTGTCCACAGTATATTTTGCCAGTAGTGCTGTGGAACATCCAGGTGCTCTTTTGCAAACTTCAAACGTGCTGCAATATTCTTTTTGGACAGCAATGGCTTCCTCCGAGGTGTCCTCCCATGTAGTCCATTCTTGTTTAATGTTTTCCTTATTGTAGATGTGTCAACAAAAATGTTAGCATGTGCCAGAGATTTCTGTAGGTCTTTAGCTGACACTCTGGGATTCTTCTTTACCTCATGCAGCATTCTGCGCTGTGCTCTTGCAGTCATTTTTACAGGACGACCTCGCCTAGGGAGAGTAGCAACAGTGCTAAACTTTCTCCATTTGAAGACAGTCTGTCTTACCGTGGACATATGAACATCAAGGCTTTTGGAGATACTTTTGTAACCCTTTCCAGCTTCATGCAAGTCAACAATTCTTGATCGTAGGTCTTCTGAGAGCTCTTTTCTGCGAGGCATGGTTCACATCAGACAGTGCTTCTTGAAACCAGTAAACCCAAAACAGGTGTGTGTTTTTTAAGTGCAGGACAGCTGTCAGCAACACATCCAATATCATCACACTGATTGGAGTCAAGGTTGGCTCACTCCTGGCTCCAATTAGCTCTGGGAGAAGTCATTAAGCTAGGGCCTCACATACTTTTTCCTCCCTGCACTGTGAATGTTTACATGTTATGTGCAATGAAACCATGGCAACATCTAATGTTTGTGTAGTATTATGTTCAGCAGACTGTGTTCTTCCATTGTTGTGACTTAGATGACGTTCAGAGCACATTTTATGCCCAATTCATGCAAAACTCCACGTAATCCCAAGGGGTTCACATACTTTTTCTTGCAACTGTATATATATATATATATATATATATTATATAAGTACCTGTAATAAATAAATAATAATGCCTTACCCGAGAAGTATGGGATTTTTTTTTAAAAAAGTCATATTTACTAGGTGGATGCAGCATCGGTCCGGCGCTGCTTCTGTCCCTCGCCGGCTCTAAGTGTGAGAACATGACTGCTGATCGCTGAGTTCTCACAGCCGCTCTGAGCAGAGAGCGGTGACTGTCAGCTCTCTGCTCCAACCTCCCCCTCCTCCTCCCATGCTCACTGGAATGCTGGGCTGTGGAGGAGGCGGCTGGATCGGGCTGTCAGCGGCTTGCTTGCTATTTCCATTTTAAAAAAATGAAACTTTAATGTGACTTTAACATATGAAAAGCTACCTGGGGTTAGTAAGAGCCAGAAGGCTGAAAGAGAACCGACCGCGGATCCTGACGGATTTATGAATCATATTTGTGACAATTCTATAATTAGTGTCTTTTTCAGGGCAGAGACAAAAATATCAATTTATGTTTTCAATTATTCTTTCTTCATCGTTCCCGTGATTTCTAATGGATTTCGGATTTAAACTTTATTATAAAAAGTTTTATATTTTTTTTA